TGCAAAAAAGAGGCCTACATATATTTTTTTCCTCCCAGACAAATTCTGGTCTTTCTCACAGACGCCACCCTCCCCCTTCACTGGCGCACCCCTGTTTGGTAGTTGAGTGGCTTAAGATCAATTGTCAGTAAAAACTAAGACAACTGAGCAATAGTTGTTTCAGGTAGAAAGTTTATTTTTACGCTAAGCATAGATATGTCTTCGGGCAAAGTCAATAAAATGATGATTTTGTTGGGTGTTACATGTATTCTGGTAATTGGCAATTTATTATTTTGACAATTCTATAATAATGTTTACTGTAGTAGATGTTTTTTTGGCTTCAATCTTATCTTTTAAATATTCTAAATTCCCAAAATATTGTATTTAGGCCTACGATTTAATTAGTACAAAAAAAATCATATTTAAGCCTATCCATGAATGGTTTCTCATATTAAAAAATACCATATACCATCAGCTAAAATAAGGATGTTTTCTCACCTCTCTAAACTACATTATAAAAGAATCTGCGGGTTTGAAAAATATCACAATGATTTCTGTTTTACTTAGTACGGTACGGCATGTGTGCGTCAAATAGGCCTACTAGTGTTTTATTGGCAAATCGTATAGCGTGAAACCAATTGTCACTATAAGCCAATTCGGAGTTCGAACTGCGCATGCTTGTATTCAATCAACATAAACCTATGTTGTGTGTTTGTTTATGTAGACTAACCTTGATACGAACATGCGCAGTTCAAACTATGAATTGACTTATTTGACTCATACCAGAAGCCTTTCTACTGTCACTATGTACCTCAGAATAATTGAGAATCATTACAGTTAATATAGTACATGGCCCTATTACTCTATAACGTCTAAAAACAGGGTGTATCTAATTTAGTTAATCTGACTAAACCAAAATGTTTTTTAATTTATTATTCGAATTTTATATAAACCTAGATATAATTTTGAACAATTTATAATTAGATTCTTTACGATAAAACCGTATTTTTGTATTGATGAATGTACACAAGCCCTATAATTGTTTATGCATGTACGACCTCATTATAGTATTAGAATACGCATATACGTTTATGTTTGTGCATTGCCCTTGCTGGCTATAAAGAAGCTAACTTGTGAATTTGTATGTAAGAATTCCTCATTAGGTTATTGACATTATATTTAATATGTTATATTTCCTTCTCACCTGTTACAGATGCTTTATTATCTTCTTTACTTAATTCTTATTTTTGAGTTTATCTAGCCGTCATTACCTGGTGATTGAAGGCACATCTGTGATGCCGCTTACATATTTTTTTCTGTTAGCACAACTTGTGTGCTCGCAGCAGTCAATCTCCTTATCACGATAGGACTCGAACAAGACATCGACATCCATTTTTTGTAAATTAATATTTGATTGATTGTCGATATTCGAGACTTTATGAAAACCCCGTAGTGTTTGCATAACGTTCATTGAATTTATGTAAGTACATTAGGACGTGTCAAAGAAACCTAATTCTGGTAATCAAATATCCTATGATAACATAAGTCAACCACCGTAATTAAGATACTCATGGGTATATGAATGTAAGATGAGAACGTAGGTAAATCATTGACGAGGTCTGACAAGTCAGACGAACCGAATTCAATCTTTTTAAGTACGATAACTACAACATATAAGTTATATATCACCAAAATCATGATGATAAAGAAAGGTAGCATATATTTGACGCTCTTAATTTTAGTCTGCCCGTCAAGACAATTACAGCACGGAATAGCCGAAGTGGAAAGCATTGAATCAAAAGTTCGAGATAGAGACACGAAGATACATAGTAACTTGGACTATGTCGATGGCCTATCTGCAACTGCGCTTGCTTCGGACTTCGAGGAAAATGAGTGCTCATATACCTTTAAAGTGTCTTCGATGACGAGGACGGGAAATACGTGTAATGCACCAAATGACAAACACCGCAGTGCTAGTCGAAAGAAACTAAGGTCTGTGCAGAGAGCTTACTTAAACATAAGCACCAATGTGTTTAGATTGGAACAGAAAATTCAAAGTATCGAAGAACGTCTGGAAAAACAAACAGAAGTGATAAGAAAACTACAAAAATATATTTTAACTGAAGGTACAGTATATGCAGTGCTACAATCTATAATCATGTACTTTTTTATATCATTATTGGCTCATTAATGTATCACTGATATTAAAATAGGCTGGCCAAACACGTACCTGAATAATACTTATTTTTGTTAAATATTTTTGTTTTGCTTTTAGTTTTTAAAACTGGTTTAATTACATATAGGCCTAAAACCAAGCACAATTTTTTTATGAATTAGATTATTACTTTGTTCGTACAAATTAGTAATTCTTAACGAATTACAGTATACTGTAATGTGAGTCGAATTAATGAAGTTTTGTACATTATTATTTTAAGTAATTTTCATTTCATTTCATTTATTTCCATAAACCTCCCTTAGGAGAAGCAAATTTGTACAACATGAATAAAATACAGTACATACGCAAAGGCAAAATATTTAAAAAGGCAATAATAATCTGTAAATACTATCTAAATCATTAATAAATCATAAGGACTTAATACTATCACAGATTCCATGATCGATACCAAAATCATTCTTAAAATATGACTTAAAATGCATACGGTATTTTACATAAAAAATCGATTTAATAAACAAAAAGTTGTCGGTGCAAGCACAATTTGTTAACTTGATAACGTGATAGACTAAGGTGCCCTTAGGATAGACCTATCATTGTTAAAATAGCAATTTAGAGGTGTGAATAAAATGAACGAGATGCAGAATTGCTAATTTAATTTTAGCAAATGGAGTAGAATGCGACCGAACCACAGGATGGATCCGATACAACAACTCATGCTACTGGTTCAGTCCACGTGACTACGAATCTTCATGGAAGAATGCAAATATTATTTGCAAGAGTCTCGAGGATGGCGCTGTGCTAGGAGTTTTAAATGATGAGCAGGAAGCAAGTTTCGTGTTGGCTCATGCTGATCTTGTCAACAGGCAAAGTTTATGGTGGTTAGGCTGTCAGAAACTCGGCAAGGTTAGTAATTGTGAAAACAGGTTATGATATTTAAAAAAAAAATCCTTTTTATAGTCCAATTCTAAATATTTGAAATTGAAAATTTTAGCTGGGCCCATGAGGACCAGCGGCAGTCACCAGTACCGATATATAACGGATACATTGGCCCTAAAATATCTGGCCTAACTCTCTTGCGAGGGCTATTCGATGATGAGAGCGATCTAACTCCAATTACTGATATAGAACATACCTTAAAAAGCACTAGGTCTAAAAAAAATAAACTTTATGAAAAAGGACCGGAGCATTATATTACAAAAACATAGAAAATTCAGATCTATTGAAAAGATGTACAGTACTTCGATAATCCAGTTATTATTAGATTATATTAATCGATATTTCATTGATTTGCAGTTATAGGGTGCTCCAAACTGGGAGATGCCACTTTTGAGAGATCTGATTTAATGAGTTTTTTTAAACCTATCTACTTGTATTTTGCTGCGCCAAATCTATCATCATCATCATCATCAACATCATCTCATAATCCTCACAATTATAATCACCGCCAGCGCCATCGCCATTTCAATCACCATTTATCTTCATCATCATCCTCACTATCATCATCATTATTTTTTAATTGTTTTTTTTTTACATTATTTCTATTACCATTAACTACAGTATTATTATTTTTTATAGCATGGTTCTAATTATATCAATAATCCAATTTGTAGTTTGAACTGCGCATACCCATATGAAGGTCAGTCGACATGAACAAACATACACACAACAATGATTATGTCGACTGACAGTTCAAACTACGAATTGACGTATTTTTTGCACCACTATGTTTTTAATTTCTTACAGGTCAATAAGTGGACTTGTGTTGACGGCTCACCGCTCAGATTTATCAGATGGGCTGCCAATAAGCCGACCAACTATTACAATGACCGGTGCCTACAGCTTGGGAATCTTCCACAGATGGCATTTACAGACACACAATGTAACCAGAAATGGGCTTTTGTTTGCGAGAAGAAAATATTCTGAAATGCTTATCCCAATAATGGTACTGGTAGAGGGGAAATTACGGGAAAGTGATAATTTTCAATAGGGTGCTCACTGTAAAAATGAAGTGATCCTACATTCTTCGTAATACCCCACATTTCTGATGAAGCAAACGTAAGGGGAATAAAAGTCTATATATTATTAAAACATGATTTGCTTTTGCAATTTGAAACATATTAAAAGTTGATAAGGATTGTGGTTTTTAAAAATAAGCAATAATTAAAATATTTTATATTGTGTACTAAATTTTATTAGTTTTTCCTGCAGTATGCTTTATTCTAATTGAGATATTTCAGAATCTTAAATAAACTGAAATTTGACTTTAGACGGTCACAGTGGACAAAATCGAATGCAAAGTTTTTCAAGATTACTGCCTAATTTCTACCTGTTCTGTGCTGTGCACTTCAACATGGAACCAAGGGGGTCTGGGGACGCATCCGCACAAATTTTCACTCCTTAACTATTCCGCAGGAAAACAAATTTGATATATTTTACAATGTATTTTTCCAAGACATAAAAGGGGTGTTTGACAAAAAAAAAAACTCGGGAACTATTAATGAGATAAATTTTTTAATATTTAAAAACTGGGATGGGGAAGAGGAGGAGCGTAACCACCATTTTCTTTTTGTATCATTATAAAAAAAAAACATTTCCTCTTTAGCCTGGCTTTAAGAGTCAAACTACGTAGAAATGAAGAAGTAAAATTATGAAATGTCATGTTGTTCTTCTCATTGGAACCTACAAATGTTATTTTTTATTAGGCCTATTAATTTTTGAAACTATTGTATATCAAACGTTTTAAACAGTAAAGTAAAATAAACCAATCACATTATTTCACTTTGTAATTGAATTGGTGGGTCGTGAGTAGCTTAGCTCAGTCGATAGGGCATATCCATACATTTTCTGAGGGGATAGGGGCGCAATAAGTAGTCCACACCCACTATGGTTTGGGCTGTGGTGAGCAAATTTTAAGAATAGGCGCTTAGAAGTGACATCTCAAATTGTAAAAATTCTTTTTCAAAGGAGTGTTCCTCGACAAAATTATTGACTTTTTCCCAACGGGACCTAAGCTCTCCCTCCCTTAGACACCCGGCCCTCCCTTAGACACCCGGCCCTCACGGGCGTCGCGAAGGTCCGATGGATGAGAGAGTTTATTCTATACTGGGCCGGAGTCGTAATGCTGTGAACTTAGAACCCACTGTCCAAGAGAATATTTTGTGAGAGACGTACTCTAGTGCCCGGATCAATAAATTGGTTCACATGCATTATATTATTAAAGGTTCAGGCCTAATAAGAGAACAGATAGGGTATAAGCACCAATTTAAAAAATAAATTTTCAAGAATGAACAGTTACGTAACGCTAGGACCAGGGACCCATGACTTTCTGAGACTGGGGAACTGTTTGGTCCCGGTCGCCAATTCCATTGTGGATTTTTTGTATTCTAAATATTTTAACGACGACGTGCGGTCACTCATCAACCATCTCTAATAACTCAGCTGCGTCTGTACAGCAATTAGCGCCCTCTGTCGACATACAACAATTTGGTAATAAACTCTGCCTTTCTTGAGAATGTAATAGTCCAACTTCTATCAACCAATGAAAACATTGTATTAGGTGGCGGAGTACAATGGGACGAGACGAATGGAATACAAAAGCACAAATGGAACTAAAATTTTATGATGAGTGACGGAATGATGTAAATGAAACGAAATAAGATAATCAAATAACAATGATCTATTTTAGGGGTGTTATAAAATAGAACTATAGAGTAATAAATATAATTTCCTAGAAAAGTGTTTAGAGAAAGAATTCAAACGAGTTCTTTACAGAAAAATCAATAAGAGTGAGGACATCTCTACGTATGAACACAAGACGTCTAGTCTGCAAACATACAGTACCTAGCCAGGCCTGTTTCAAAAACACATTCCTACTCTCCAATACTACTCCGCTACGGTAATTTACAAAGTGACCATGGATATTATCAGCTCTATTACATGGCTGATGTGTTTACTACATTTAATTATATTTAGAGACCTCTATAGAACATTAGAAAAGCGTGAGAGAAGGTATCTTAGAGAGCATAAAGGTAAAGCGAATGTGAAATGGAATAGCGCAAAGGTATTTATTCTCGGCGACAAGGACGTTGGTAAAACGTCTACTCGAAAACGTTTATGTAATGCAAATATGGACGAGTCAAGCAATGGGAGCTTCATAACCTTCGTGACAGACTACTGGCAAGAACAATACAGCGAATACGTCCACATGTTACGACCCTGTACTTACTGGATAGCCGCACAAATGTCCAGTAATAATCTAGTACAGTATTCAGGACATGTAACTAAAAAGGTGCCACCATGTATATCTGTAGATTTGGATTCATGGACAAAAGCAAGGTTTACTTTAAGCACAATATATATGCATGCTCCAATTGTAGGTATATGTTCATTCTTATTTTGCATCATGTGTTTACTTGTACCTTCTTTAAGGTATTACATGCCATTTTTTTTTTGTAGTGGTTCATGGTATTCCGGCTCTAATTCTACGATTTAATTATGCTTGTATTTTAAGTGGTGGGTTCTCACTTTCACTAATATTACTAGTTCTACTGACTGTCATCATTGCATTTGTGACTGTATTCTATGGACTATTTGTAGGACAGATTATATATAATGTCTCTATTATGTTTATATTTGATGGTAAATTGGCCAGCATTAATAAAAAGAAATTGTGAAGTTTTAACCAGGGGAATAATTCTGGGTTTAATTCTAGTATTTCATCAACATTTAAGGCTTATGCCGGCCCAGTACAGCGAAGGAGGAGGTTACTAGTTATTTTATGTCTAGAACTGACTTCTTACTAACATGTTTTGTAATACCGGGACTAATCAGTTTGGTTTCGTTAAAATTAGGAGGCGCTATTAGCAATTTAATATGGTTTATATTAATGATAGCATGTCGAATTACCCTGATTTTAAAGTCAGGCTCCGGAGGAAAAAAATTGTTTGATATGTTGTAGAACTGATTTTTCTAAGACAGAAAAAAGTTGTTTGATGAAAAACTGGGGAAGGGTGAATGAGATACAGATTTTTTAATATTTAAAAACTGGGGGGGGGGGGAAGGTATTTGGTATGAACTCCAAAGAGCGGAGCACTGACTTTGTATAAATACCATTCTAGAAAATTATAATCACCTTTTTATTTGGTAAACATGTTAATATGTAGAGCATTAAAGCTAAAAACTTTCAATTTTATCAGAACATCTGTAGACAGGTTAAGATTTTAAAATTGCACTTAACTGCCGTTCTTACATAGTTTGCATTTTTTAAAGTTTATTTAATTTACTTTTTATTTTAATTTTTTATCATTTTATTACTTATTATTTTGATAATGTAATTGATGTACTGTAAATGTTAGTCGAAGCGTGTTGCGCTTCGTTGAACTTTTAATCGGAAAGTCGGATATTCCAGACTGATGCCCGCCACGCTGTTTGTATCTTTGTTCAAGAAACATTATCTGCATTTTTCTCTCTTCACCCAGGGTATAAATATGTACCTGGTAGGATGTGAATGACTCGGAATGAAGTTAACAGTGCTGAATACACTTATATCTATGAATACTCCACAGGGAGTGGATTCAAAGTTGCACGTTGTGTATGATTGATTCTGTATAAAATGACCAGGAAAAAAGCTCCTTGAGCAGTTTTCTGGATATTTTAGCTATATAATATTAATAATAATAATAATAATAATAATAATAATAATAATAATAATAATAATAATAATATGAATAATAATAATAATAATAATAATAATAATAATAATAATAATAATAATAATAATAATAATAATAATGAATGAAAAAAAAAATTATCATTATAATTACCATTGCCAGTTACATTATTCACCATTATTTATCAATATTTACCATTATTATTGTCGGCTAATTTCGGTAGTATCTTTATTTTTATGCATATTCTTTAACTCTATAGTAGCAAACATCTTTTGTCATGATATAAATTAGGATAATCTGTCAAATTGCATTTTCACCTGTCTTAGCATTCATATACTCGCACAATCCTTGTATTCTCTCACTCCTGAAGATTGCATTAGCATGAAACAGTCTGTAGAGTGATACAGGGACCCCCGCCCCTAATTTTTCTGAAAATTGTAAAAAATTAGAGAGAAAAAAAGAAAAACATATTCAAATTTTCTGTCTTAGAGTGCCATTTTCGGCCATCTCGAGGTGCCATAATCGTATATTTGCTTACCTCACCCCAACCATGGTGGGTCTGGGGTGGTGTAGACCCTCTATCTGTCAAATTCCCTCCCTGGGCCTCCTCTGTTTCAAATTCATGGATCTGCTACTGCCACCTAAGCCCCACTATGTTTGGGGCTTTATAAAAAAAAATGATATGGCAACTCTAGATGCCTGGAAATTGCACTTTCATATACCTAAACACTTCGGTATTTTTTTAAATATATTTCTTTAAAGTTTTCTTTGACAGAGCAAAAGAAAGTACTGCGCAGTACTGTACTGTCTCACTAAGTGAGGTCACATTTACCTCAGCCCCAACTAGGTTGGGATTGAAGTTGAAAAAATAAGGGTTTGGCAACTTTGAATATCTGGAAATGGCACTCTCGGACTTAAAACAATTTTTTTTTCAAGGTTCTTAATTTTAATTATAATAAACAAGATTTATTTGTTGCAAGAAGTAGAAGGAAGGATAGGCATCTGGAAAGTCCACATCCTTAGCCCCATGGCCGTTGCTGAGGTAGAATAAAGTTTTCAAAGGGCCTTAATTTGACAGATAAGATGTTCAATATTAAATCAAATATATGACAGGGAGGGGCAAGTACTAAATTTTGTACACATAAAATCTAACAAATGCATATAAACTGAATAATATGGAACATTTTAAAAATTGGCACCCATTTTACACCTTAAATCAAGCTAATGTTGACCAACATATTTAAAAAGTCGAAGTTCCTTCATGGGCGCCCTCTACTTCAGATTCCTGCATCCGCCACTGATATATGAACCAATGCAACAATGGAAATGCATATCGCGACATGTCCGATCGTAGTATTATAAACGGTTACAGAGGCTCAGCTAGATAACACAGTAAAGTAGTCTTAAATTAGTAATGTCTTTTTATATATACTACCAGTCATAAACAAGCTTAATTGCTAATTTAAAAGAAACGTAGTTATCAAATCTTCCAATCATAAGACACAGGTATCAATATTTACATACGGCGGTTAGACCTATCCATAAATTACCTGGTAGCAAATTTAAGGGTCTAGCATAGAGGTACATTGTAGTCTAAGCATACGATCTAAATTTTATGCTAATTCAAAGCTGGAATTTACGTGGTTTGGAAGTGGTTATATATTATTATTTTTTTATCTCTTTTTTGATGGACAACGAGATTATTTATTGGGTATACAATAAGATTTACATTTATTATGTTTAAAGATCTCACATTGAATTGAGGAACAATGAAGACTGAATCAGAAGAATTCGAAGAATTGTGCTGCCGAATTTCATCTCGCTCTGTTTTGTTCCATTCACTGTGTTTCGTCGCGTCAAGAGATAGGCCTAATCTCCTTAATAAATAATAATTAAAAAAAAAGCCTTTGTATTTGTATTGCATTTTAACATGAATAAAACGCTAAAATTAGAGGCATCACCAATGGTGTAACGACGAGTTATGAGGCCCGGGGGCGAGAAAATGTGGCCC